ATGCTTGATACTGCAGGGCAAAGGTCTGTCATTTTGATTTTCTGCAAAGTGCCATGCCACCTACAAAAAAGTACTGCCTGAATAAACTTATGTATCATATACTATATAACACTTGATAACAGAAATTGACCCAGAGTTTCAGTTTCAGTGAAGGAAATAATAAATGACACCACAAGTAACAGGCAGAGGCAAGGGGAACAAACCCCTGACTAAACAATTAAGTAACAGAATAATCCTCTTTTTTTTTTTAAATGGATACCTCAGTCTCTACCTGAGTAGACTCAAACTTTTAGAATGGGTGCTCAAGAGTTCCTGTTTTATTATTGTTTGAGCACCTCAGATAATAAACAAACTCATTCCATCTCATACAGAATTGTCATGCAGCAGGCAAAAGCAAGGCAGAACTGGCAGTCTATATTTTCTTACTTATACAAATAATAACCCAAATGTAAGTCATGAAGGTGGCAGAATCAAAAAATCCCAAACCCAACTCCACCCACCAACAGGTGAAGCACTTAAAAGCTAGGAGATGCTACATTTCAGTAGATTTGCAGTAGCCCCCCAAATCTCAGTTTCCACAGTTAACGCACGGAATAAATCAGGAGACTAATGGAAAAAAAAGATTAAGCAATTACATAATGAGAGGATCTGTATCCTAAAGTACACATACAGGAGAGCTGAATTAAAATTGCATGTAAAGATATAAGCTTTTTTTTTTTCCCAGCCTGTATGCTACTTGTAGTAGGCAAATCACCACCAATACCTAATTAACATAACTGACGGCCAGATTTGTCAGCAGAATACATTATGGCAGAACAGCAGCTTGACAGAGTGCAGCAAGTGTAGAAGAAATATGACTTGTGAAACCACCACCACAAAGCAGCGCAGCAACAGCTGAGACGAATCTGTGCTGGTCTAACAACAACAGCATGTCAAAATCTTCCCAAACTTCAGCATTTGTCCTGAATTCATGAGAATTAGCTAAATCAACAGTCATTTAGGAAACACTACTCAATGTAAAACTGTTCCTTGCCAGCTCAGGGAATCCAAGCAGACAAAAACGTACATCCAAATTCTCAGGCACCTGAATTGGATGCAATGGGACATTTCTAAAGACATCTTTAATACTAACCATAGTTTACCCCAATTAGTCCTCATCACCTGGTTTCTCCTTTCATGGGTCTCAATGCTGCTTTTCAAATTGCCTCTTTTCAAAATGTTAGCTGCTCACACGAACTGTGGGATCAAGCTGAGAGACTGTTTCCTTTTACAGAGGCCACCTTGCTCTGCCCTTAGCAGGGGCCTCCTGGCACCAGCCAGCTGAGGACCACCACCTTCCCCAAGGAGGGCTGACTGCAGCTCCCCACCATGTAACCCTTAGTGGCTGGTCACCTGTCCAAAGGCAACCACCACTTTCCAACTAGTGAGGACAATGATAAAACCCTTGTTTATTATTTTGCATGCAGTTTGGGTACCTGGAGCTACTCATCACACAGACTTTTTTCGCCTCTGAATGACCAAACGTTGCACCAGCAGGGAAGAACTTCTACAGGCTTCAGCTTGTCAGCTTCCTATGTAAATTCGACAGCACTTCGCTTCCTGATTTTTGGTTAATAAATACTGAAGAAACAACCTAAATGAAGAATCCAGGGAAGCTGAGTGCTGGGAAAAACCCTCTAATAAAACAAGGCCTCAAGAGTGCTGGGTGCTGCACTTGAGCACAAGAGGCAGCCCCAACCAGCAGTGCAGGTGGCTGCTTTAACTAGCACAGACATACAAGAGGAGGCTGATGATGCTAACTACAGTTGCCACACAGTGATTCACGCAATTCATGTCCTTTGATAGGACTATTCCAATTTTCATCAAATTATTTGTGAAGTAATACACATAAAATAAGCTGAAATGCACGCAAAGCATGGTGGCAGGGTTACACATTTACAAACGCAGTTGTGCACGTGAGTTAAGAGTTCAAAACGAAACCATGGCTAGTCGTTTTCAAACCAGAGTTTTCCAAGGCAGCAGACAGGCAGCATGAACTGCTGAAGCTCACAGCTCCTCTGCTCTCTTGGGACTCTTAGCCAGCAGCTGCAACACTTGGGTGTGCCCCAAATTGCAGGTTATGGGCTGTTCCAAGAAGCAATTTTAAGATTCTTCGCGTATTGTCTCAGGTCTATAAAGCTGTCCCTCCTCCTGTCAAGGCTTACAGAGCACACTCCCCTAGGATATTATCTGGAAAAGAATTTCAGCTTATAAAATAGGTTTACCAGCTGAATAAAACATCTAGAGGAACTGTATACTTTAGGATCTGCTTTCACGTAACAGATCTGTCTAAGGTACATTTTTTCCTTATTATTATTTTAAACTAATCTGCAGTGGAAATTATTATTATACCAGTTAAAGTATTGCCAACACTTCTATTTTTTCAGATAAACCCAAAGGAAAAAAAAAAAAAAGACAGATGCCTTTAGTTAGACTGGTAATTCACTATCATCATCTTAAGCTATTTTACCCGCTATGTGGATTGCTAAACAGCTGTTCAGCAGTCTTGTGTACTAGCAAATCTCATTCTAGACCTTTACATTTCCTTTTCCTCCTCTTGCAAAATAAATATTTAAGATTTGTTGTTATAGGTAATCATAGAGAAAGTAAAATATCAGTGAAAAACTCAGCGATGTTTCTTTTATACTCTTTGCTCACTGTCCTCCCAGGCGTGGAAACTAAGGGCTACCTGGAAGAGTTTAATGTGTGTCACTCTTCAAGAGAAACATCTACATGTAGACAGAGGAGGCATCTCTAAAGATAGCAGTCAAATTATGACATGTTTACAAAATAAATCATGACATCACTGACCTATATGCATTTGCAAGTCTGGCAAGAGAGTAACTGCTGATCCTAGCAACAAAATTTCAGAAGGATTCATTTCAGAAATCTTCCAGTAAATTTGGATCCTGTTCTTTGGAAGTAATTGGAGCTGTGCTAGCCCCATCGTGACTGAACAGAAAAGCCAGGGAGTCGTGACCTTGCAGTACTGTGTGCTCACTAGGTTCTCTCCCCATCCAGTTCTGCCCTGTCTTATTTCTGCCTCTGAACATTAAGCTTCGAACCCCAACTGCTGGTATGGGGAAATTAAGAAATTGCTGGGTATTTTGAGTATCAATTTGAGTCGACTGTATCAAGCTGCTTCTGCCTTTCTGTACGAAACTCCACTCTGAGCACTCATGTCCTACGCAGGTTGCCTCATCAGTGACTACTACTGTCCAAAGCACTAGGAACAAGCATCTAGTTGTGTCAAACCCTTACTCAGACACCAGTTCACATGTTTCAGGCTTCATCTTCTCACAAATACTACACCAGCTTCATTTGCACAGGAAGGGTAGAAACAGCTGTATTTGTGCAAGATACTGTAACCCATTTAAAGAAACAGCTAAGTTACAGACACAGTAAAAAAAAAAAAAACCTATCTAGAAAAGCCAAAAAGCAACACCAAATAGACAGAACACCTCAGAGACTGAGTACAACCCAGTAAAATAAATAAATAAATTTCTCTAACTCTTAATCGATAATGCATCTTGGCCAGCATTTGCTATTTTATGCTTTTAAGCCACTAACTCATTTCTACAAGTTTGAAAATGTAGACCTAGTTATTCTTGTGGTTTATCAGTGTGACCAAGGCAAGCTGTGACATTATTAAAACCAAAACAAAACCTCTTACCAGCCACTATAGCAAAATTTGCAAGAGACAGATCCAGAAATACGCCTTGACCTCCCCTAGACATCATACAGTAAATAAGGTGTCTTCTGTCTAAGACACATATAGAAACAATCTTCGTTTGGTAATAGAGTAAGTTGTTATTGACATAATGACATCCAGGGGAATTAGGGGGGGAAAAGTCAACAAAACTCATGGTAGTGTAAGATTAAACTAATTTATTTAAAAAAACCCACCCAACAACTTTACAATACATCTACATTTTTTTAACTCCAAATTGCCTTAAGCATTAGCAATGTCAAATGCAGTGATCAAAACTAGAACTGCTTAAAGGGGAGAGGGGAGGAAAAATCACTAGGGGAACAACTTCCGACTTGTTCCCAAGGGCTGAAGGGGAGGACTGGCAGAAACATAAAATACTAGAGAGAAGAAAATGTTTATGGAGAAAAAAGTGGGGAAAAAGGGAAAGATCTAACACATGACGGTGGGAAAGACAGTATTTGTCACCAAAAAAACCCAAAACAGTAAAGCTTAGTGTTTTGCGTATTGATATCTCACACCTAGCATTTGGATGACACAGAAAACATTTCCAAACCAGAATGGAAATACCTGAGTTTCCCAGAAAAACATTACAACATATTTACAGATAATTTTTCCTCCATGGATGGGTTTCAGAGTTTATGAGAACAGGGCAGATGTAGCAGATCTCTAGCACAAAAAGCGGTATTTTTCTATGTAACTGTGTATTTCTTTGTACATGTTCAATATATAAGATAACCACATCTATTTATATTTAAACACATTTATTTAAATATACACATAGGCACAGACATATTTGTACACACACAGCTGATCAAGTGGTCTGGCCCGAGCTATTTTACTTTTTCATCTCCAGGAGAAGCAACTTATTGTTCTTGTTTCTCAAGAGAAACAACTTAATGTATTTAGTATTAGAAACTGAGCACTAAAACTCAACATGTGGTTCACAAAGCAGCATATCCTATTTTATTATAAAGAAAAATACCATATATATTCACACAAAATAAATAAATTATGTTTAAAAGCTGCAAAGCAAGGATTACTGTAGAAATATGAAAATGAAAGATACACAGGAAGTCTTCTTAGTATCTCCATTCAAATTGTGCATGTACGTAAAAATCAAGACTGGAATTTCCCATCACTGTATGAACAATTTTAATTTCAATTTCACTTTATCCATCTCGTGCACTAAAGAGAAGTATGATGGGCTAGACAGAAATAAATACTATCAGCAAGAAAAAGAATTTATTACCTTTACTGCATGCAATTGCAAACACTGTGAGACTTTGACCTATAAAGAGAAAGGAAACTAAGAGAAGTAACATGTAAGACGAAGCCAAGGATCCTATAATGGTACTTCCAAATTGACAGAAGTTCCTCTAAAATAATTTTTTTTAAAGCCATGTTTCTTTGCTAATTTGTGGTTGGTATTCAATGCATTGAAGAGAGGATAAAATCTTTTACCAGCCTAAAAGTCTCACGGACTCTTCCCAAAGATTACCTTTGTATTAAAATGAGAGTTTATCACATTCTGTTGATTAGAGAGGACTGTTTTGTAAAAGTTCATCCCTCGGGATCCTTATCTTTCCTTTACAAAGGGAGAGTGATGCAAGGAAGAAGTGCTGTATTCAGTAGGTTCACGTTCACAGTCCATTGCCTTGGCAGGTGTACTTCAAGTAGCTTGAAACCAGTAGCATAAAACGCACCACTTATCCCAACGGCAGTCCTAGCTTTGGTTTCGGGGTTTCTGAACACACTGTACTTCTACTGATAAAGAAAAATTCTGCCTCCTTCCTTCTTGAAGTCCCAGTTCAGTTTTGATCAGTAAAATCAAGTGATGCATTCACAGTTGTTAAGAACGAACTTGGCCCCCAGAGCTCTGCATACTCTCAAGTGTACAACTGAAGAATTTCTAGTGGTAAGATTTATTCCAATATCTGAAACCAATGGATTTTTTTCACACTTAGCTTAAACAACACACAGCAGTGAAATGTGCAAGCCACTGACCATCCTTCCAACTTAAGATAGCCTCTACTTTTCTCAACTGTTCAAAGCTCTCTTAGTAATATGCCATTTCCATTCACTTGCTATTTCTTCTAGATGTTTGAGAAATACCTTTTATATAACCAAGAACTTACCAATCTTTAACCAGCAGCAGAGATCTGCTCTGACCAGCAGGGAGAATTTCTCAGCATGTTAGAGAGGAAAAATTCTTGCCAATGTTAACCATGAACAACATCAACACAGACAGCATACAAAAAAACCCACAAGACATGAACATCACATAGGCTTGATCGCCATCACTGTTTTTCCCATAATTTTCTTCTGTTTTTAATTATGAAGCTTTGGCTTCCCCAGAGATCCAAAACCATGTAACGGCCCATCACACACGCAGGTCATAGCAAGAGAGCACCTTAAAGATTCCCAGAGCTTCTGTTTTAATTCTCTCAATGTAGATCTGTCTCAAGAAACCTGACATGTAGTCAAGGAACAGCCCAACTTGACAACAGCTTTCTCTTGCTCATAGCAATCTGCACATCACCAAAACTGCTCATAGCAACACAACTGCAATATTATTCTTATTTTAGTAATCTCCATGTAAAGCACAGGCTTACGCCTCTCTCATAGCTGCGCTCTCAAACAGACTCTAGAATTACGAAAGCCAAGATTACTTCTAATATCAGCCACCTTCACATTTTAGGAATGCCAAACATTCACAGGCCCTCAGCATGGAGCATATGCTCCAGCTCATCAGCCCAGAGATTTTGATGGCAATAATCACAATAATTTCACAGTTATGGAAAATAAATCTTTATAGACTCCACCATTTTCCATGTTACCATACAAATTTCACTACTAGTTTCTAACAGTGACTTGTTCAGAGAACTGCTGTTGTACAATGGGATATAACTGGTGGTACGCTACGTCCCTGTCATAGGCCACTGAAATTTCTGACTCTAAGCCCCAGCCTAGCCAGAGGCAGCCTGGCTCCAAATTCCACCTACAGAAAAGATTTGACACCCACTGCTCCAGACTTGTCTCTGTATCTGCAACGATCACATCCAGGACCTCCCAGATACATGACAGCACCTCAGGAAGTGCCCTCACTGTGCTGCCAGGCATCCAGAAATCCTGAGCACAGACAACCCCCCTCCATGCTTTCAGCAGACTATAGCTCCTGCTGGGAAAGCAAAACATGGAAGGAATCCTGGATGTATAGCAGTCCTGGTAAAGGAGAAAGCCACTGAACAGGAACTTGCCATTTCTCTTGCTGTGCCTAGACTACATCTTCCTTCACCTAACTGAAACCCAAGGGTAGCACAGTCAGTTTTCCATTTGTAAGTCAGTCCCATATGTGTGTTTACGGAGGGGAAAGGGACATGTCTCTGGACAAAAGCACCTGTGCTGATGCCTACAGAAGGGCTAGATACAGAAAATACTTTTCCTAAAAAAGCTGATATCGGCTACAGGCAGTTTAAAAGAAAGTAGATTCCAGTGTTCAAATCATGAAGTCACAGCCACACCACCTGCAGGACCAATCTGAAAAGAAGCTACGAACATTATCTGCAGTCATTTAGCAAAACCCTTGGAGCAATGCTACTTGTAATTACTTCAGCACTGAACTCCGTCTGGGCAAGGAGCATCCAGCTCCTCACCTCCTCCATGATTTGGGTAGCCTCCCTGTTCTTTCCTACGCTACACTAGTTACTGAGGCAGCCAGGCCAGCACTGTGGGGACTGCAGCAGTGGTTATGTCTCTCTTCGGTGTGTATTGCAAAGTGCTGTTTTACTGCCATGGCTCAGACAGCAGTTGACACTAAAGGTAAAACAGGCAGGCACGCAGAGATATATCCTCTCCTCTGCCCAAGGTTAGCACCGCAGTAGAACTTGCCTTGCAGCACACACCCACACTCTCCAGTTGTCAAGGGGAGTAAACAAAGCCAGTAAACTTCATCTTGAGTCACTCAGAAGTAATAATTTCAAAAGTCACTATGCGGGATTGTTATAAAACAAGCAAAGTTATCTGTAAAGACAGCAAAGACACCTATGCAGATCTAAAACATAAGTCACTGAGTTTAAACACAGTCGGAATTTAACTTATCTTTGTGTACTCTGCAACGTGATCTACCATTAGCGAGACCCCGTCTGCCACAGTTTGGTCTTCTTCCTTCTCAACTTTAGAAGCCAAAGGTAGTTCAGACATTTCGGTCACGGGAAATATAAACAGCCAGTGGTCACATTTCCTTACTAATGGCTCTAGCATTGACAGGACCACACTTCAGGCACTTAATAAATCACAGCTTTTGCCATTGTCTTACACACTCAACTAGAAAAGTGGGAATAAAAAGACTATATACACACTGCACAGCTAATCCATAGCACCCTATATACAATGTCCTACACAGAACACAGAACTAAAAATGTCACACCAAAACGACGATTTCTGTATGAACCACTGCAAAATGCTCTTTCTCACTGGAATGCACAGTGTTAAGGCCATTTTGAAATTCTCTCACAAACATGAGCCCTTACCAGCACCCTCAGGACCCCAGCAGCCCCACTAGGGTTTTACCCACTTTCCCAAACAAAGGAGAGCTCTGCTGTTCAAATTACTCCCTTAGGGACACGCTGCACAAGCCCTCTGACTTAATTTTACTTCTTCAATAATACCACTGCAAACATGCTGAATGCTAATAATAAATAAATTATTCAAATGTTCGGTCTCTACGGAAGCACCACATGAATCATCTTCCTGAAAAGAAACTCCTAAAGCGATTGTCAGGTACCCTTCATGTGGAGGGGAAAAAAAATTAAAAAAAAAAAAAAAAAAAAAAAAGAAGCTGATTTAAATAATAATGCCATGTGAATGAAAAGTGATTTACCGTAACAAGGAGACACAGTAGCTTTGCTGTTAATTCAATAGGTTGACCAAAGCCAAGTCACTAGCCATCACAGAGCATGACTGTCACCACAGTTTCAAATAGGGTGGAACAGGAGCTTGGAGAAGCAAAATTTGAAGAGAAAATATGAAATCAAAAGATTTGGTGCTCTTCTGATGAAAGTGACTGAATCGGAACTAAACTGGACAGTCAAAATCCCCAATTTCCACACAAAACAGTCATTTATGGAGCTAAACAGTCAATTTCCAAGTGTATCTCAGAGTAAGGAGCCTAACTGAAACTTCAATGGGGAAAAACCCCCCACCAAAAACCTAAAGTACACTTCCCTGCAAAAGCTAACAAACAGCACTGTTGCTTTTTAGTTTGGTCATTTCAAGGATTCTCAAGCTTATTACAGAAGATGATCTCAGTACAAATGTGTGCATCTGTTCATAAATGAACTGGTTTCCCATCTTTTTATGCAGGACTTCTCAGGTCTGGTCTGTCCATATTTTGTACAAAATGAACTTTATGAATTAGGGACGCAATTTTCTTGCCCTTTCAAATCAATCATGATTCTCAACCAAGAATAAAGTGACTCACGTGCTTTGGCAATGCAGCAGCAGTGCCCAGAGTTTCCATTTTCACTCTGCAATGAACTTCACAATCACTGTCTCATGTTGGTTTTGGTGATACCTGACCCTGTGAAGACAGTGTCTTCCAACTCTTCCCTGCCAGAGCTCCTCATAGGCAGTGCCAGCTATAGCCATGGCAGCTGGACCAAGGCAGATCATGCATGGGCTGCTGGAAGCATCAGTAATAGATGAAAGCGTCTCATACAGTGCCTTCCCAGAGAAGAGGCCAAGCCATCCCCATGTAAGCATCCTGTTGCTTGCTCTGTTCTGGAGCATGAGGATGCCTGTTCCCTGGCAGCCAATGGTAGAGAGAGAACAAAGAAGCTTGTGAGGTCTGCGGAAAACAATCCCTCCCTTCTCAGGCTCCCTCAGCCAAGAAGGACCAGAGGCCACATGCGACTCCTCACTCCTCCTCTCCCATGTTCTGCGAACGGGAAGGGATTTTCACCAATCTTTTTTTCCACCCCAACCAAAAGAGAATCGCAGATTGAAGGAAAGGCATGCAGTCTGAATTCAGTTCACTGACTGCTGCAATCCTGTTCGCAGGCGTGAGGCTGGGTCTGCAGGACCGCTGCAGCAAGAGCTGATGTCTTTGATTTAACATCCACGGGCAGCAGATTTAAACTGTACTGATTGCCAAAAGAGGAAGTGGGGGACCCTGCTCACACAAGAAAGCAGGCAGTACGGCAAGGATCATGGCTGTACCTCCAGTTGTTCAGGAACTGCTGGAAGCAGCAATCCAAGGTTGACCATCTAGTCACAGTGATGAGGGCCATCTCCATTTTCAGCTCTAACAGCAATTCAGAGAGGATGACCCAGGTTCACTTTCCTTCCCTGCATGATGAAGAACCACTAACTGTGCTACCATGAAGGCCTGCTTCTGCCAGGCTTCAACAAGGAACTCAGGAAGCTTACCCAAGAATTTCATTAAACCTGGCAGAGGTGTACTTGCTGTAAATGAGAGGGGAAGCATTGCTTTACATCAGGCACTGCCCAGTCACGGGGTTCTCCCATCTTGTGGGGCAACTCCCACAGCTCTTGCGCTCTTGTTTCAATCCCCACTGCAGCAGCAACAGCAGATACAGATCACTGCTCTCATCGTATGGCACTGTGTTTCCATGCCAGCTGTAATTACACCCACAAGCACCTTCTACATATGCTTCCTTGCAACTCAGGACAGAACAAATTTGGTACAAGAAGACATAGTAATACATTGCATTTAGTTTATTAAAGTGTGAGGGGCAAGTAAGACAAAAAAGCAAGTTTGGCATTTTTTTCCCTCAAAATGAAAAGCTGTATCTTTTAAGAAACAAAACCAAACCCCTCCACAGTTCAGTTACATCTTACAGGTGGCACGCAGCAGCTGGAATTTACACAACTGCAGCTAAAAGTTAATTTGGAGATGTATTTTTAACTTATTCAGGGAGAATGTTAAGATATATTGAGAGCAAAATAATTTTATTATTACCATTGATCTGTGCACAACTGCATCCTTGAGTCTATAACATGAGCTTAATACCGAAGACCAGAGCAGAGGCCACAGAACTGACCTTATCTGAAAACAAAGCATTAGTTTCAAGGTCTTGAAGTTAATGTGATTATGTCCCCACCTATCTCACCCAGCACAAGTTCCTGAAGAGTTTAGAATACACCTAAATCTTTTCCACTGTAAAGACTTTTTCCTGTCATACATTTTATTAAATAAAAATGGATGTGTTATGACAGCTGAGAACAGAAAATACAGTGGGAACACAGGCTATCCACGCTGCAGGTTTAAAAAAAATTAAGCTGCGATTTGAAACAAAATTACAATGTGTACAATAACAACATACAAAATCGACAGACAAAGTAAAGCAGTAAGAGCAAAAAGCTGTTTCGTCTGGGAATCCTGAAAGCTAGAATGCAGCAATGTCCATGGACATACAGGTAAGTTTTGAGAGAAGATATCAGAATCTGGTATGGCTGAAGGGCCTGCCTAGATTAAGCTCTGCACGAGACTTCACGAGAAGACCAAAGAGCACAAGGACAAGGAGCAATCCTCAGCTAGTAGAAGGAGCTCAAAATTTCAAAAAGCACCTGAGCAAGTGACTGAACACAAAAAGTAAATATATTGTTCGTTTGTTTTGATTAGAGAGTTAATGCTAGGAACAACAGTGCCACGATCCTCAAAAAAAGAAACTGAGGTGCTATCTTGTATCTAAGAAAATCACAGGCAAAAAGAAAACGGCGTACAAATATTTTGTCCAAAATTCTTCAACAAAGTACAAGCAAAGACAGCCAGAAAGGAACAGAGGATTAATCCTGCTCATGTCAAAGATATTAAAGACACAGAATAGCTACAACGAATTTTAGCTTTCCTTTCTCTTCCTTTGCTATGGTTTCTCAGTCACTTTCTCTGGAGAGGTATATTAAATGCTTTACAATGGTTAAGATTACTTTGCCAAAATAGTTCAGATATAAAATGAATGGAAACCAGGAGCATCAACAAATCTTTCTTGGCTGAAAAAAAGTACTACTTACATTGTGGAATTTTTTTCTCTTCATTCCCCAGACCAGAAAAAGAGCATTTTCCTTAACAACTCAGAAGAAACGAGGTGTGACAAGTGTACATGAATATCACATTTACTAGAGTTTTAAAATTATACTATATTATAGTCTCTAACACGCCCTAAACATTCTTTTCAAATGTAGCAAAACATTTATCAAGTAAAAATAATGTAAAATCCCTTTGTTACCCAAACTTTTGCCAATCAAAAGGCAGTACTATAACTCAAAACCAGTAATTGAGTCAATTTTTCATTCTTCTGTTTGCATTAAGCTGGATATAAGCACTGGAAAAAGAGACTTAAGATGGTCCTGTAAGGTAGGACTCAATAAACCTCTGCACCCCTCGATCTCACCCTGCACCCACTACCATTCTTCTACACAGGTCTTCTGGAAAAAGACAGTCAGAAGCAGCAAATAGTGCATGGATGCACTATTTCCATGCAACCTGCTGAAGCCTGAACATGAAAGAGCTCATTGGAGGGAAAAATGAAAGACAGACAGACAGACAGACAGAAAGGCTTGGTTGAACTATTTTTGTGTTTTAAAATTAAAACAAGGAAGTGTTAAAAGATGCCTTTAGTGAGGTTTTTCTTCACACTCTCTCATCCTTCCAACCTCAGTCATATCACGCATATTAGAGTTCAAATTGCCTGGGTTTTCCACTTGAAATAGCAACGCAGAATGCCAACTCTGTTAAAGGTCTGTTAGGCTGTGTTAGTTGCCTGAAAAGGCAGTCATCTCTCTTTCTCTGTTTCTTTAATATGCTGAAATGTTTTGGGCTTTTGGTTTTTTTTTCCCAATTTGGAAGGTAGAGGAGGGCAGAGGAGAAGAGGGTGGAGAATAGCATACTACTCTTTATTGGGAAAAGGCTTTAAGCAACAACTGAGATAGGAAGGACTAAAAAACAATTGCTCTTAATTCCTAGATATCTTGCATCATAAGAGGTAAAACATTTGTGCCATACAGACTTGACAGAATAGTTTATATTTTATGAACTCAAATTTCAAAGACTGTGTATGTGCAAGCACACATTTAAAACCAGAATTGCCAAACAACTGAAAACAAATCAAGCATATCCATTCACGATAGTTTCTGGGTTTTCCTTACAAAAAAAAAAAAAAAAAAATTAAAAAACCCTAGGTCTTTCCACTAGGAAGGACTGCAAAGGTAGCAGGTCTATCCCATCGAGACTAAAGCCAAAAGCTGCCAAACTCTACAATTTGCACCATCTCCTAGTGTTAAGAAATAATCTGAATGCTTTAATGCATTTAAAATTTGAACAAATCTCAGCATAAATACTATATAACAGAATGATGCAAATTTATGTGAAAGGAATTAGTTGAAAAATATTCTTGGGTAAACTACAGATGCTGGATTACATTGGTGTGTGGAAGGTGAGCAGTACTGCCTGCCAATTATTTGCTTGTGAGCCTATTTGTGAGTAAGGCTTCATTCTAGGTCATTTGGATAAATGTTCTGGAGAACATTATACAGCATTTTCTGCTAGAAAGAAGGCCAGAAAAGTCTTGGCACCACGAGAATGAACACGGAACTGAGACACTTCATGGACAAATACTTAGAAAGACCATAAAATGATCTTAAATGGTGTAAGTTACTTTTGCACCATAGACAAACGCATGCAGTCTGGGGAAATGGCCTTCTGTGTGCTCAACACATTAAGAGCAATGGTAGTTCTATGTACTCAATGGCAGAAATATAAACACACTTAGCAGTGAATAATGATTTTTAATAGTCTGGTACGATAGATTGAAAATCTTCACCTATCCAAACTGCAAGTCATATAGTTTCTGTTTATATTGCCCATCCAATGGAAATAAGATATTTAACATTCCCCTATGAATATAAGCTCCATTAAACATGGTAGGTTTCTTGAGACAAATACTCTGACACTGTTTTCCTCACCATAGCACCACTACCCACCTTCAGGTATGTTTTGCTATCAGCACAATCAGGGAGTAAAAGAAAGGATCGCTCTCAAAGAACAACCTTGCTTCATCCACAAAACTAAAAGCGGTGTTCCTGGAACATTTCCTTCTGGGAACTCTTTATTCACACAAGGGGAAAAAAAAAAGCCACCCTTTGCCATATTTTACAGTAAGCGAATTAATAAACTGAGGAAAGAAAAAAAGCAGCAACTTGCATAGACTACACTCACTGTATGTAGTAAATCATCCTTTTCAAGGCACCAGATGCGCAATAAAGGAGACAGGTTAAAGGAAACAAAAAAAACATTTTGGTTACTTCTTGCCCAGTGAATATTACAATAGCTGTGCAATTTGCAAGAGGTATTCGTTTAGTCGAACAGTTACTCCATGATGTAGTATCCATCACCTACCTTGCAGAAGGGCTCCATTTCTCTTGAAAAAGGTGCTTCCTGGCCAAATGGGTGGACCTGATGTGCTAAAGGTAATAAGAAATAAGTGTAAAGAAAATCTCATTCACATTAAACGATTGTAAGTTACTATTTGCATTAATTTCATTTTCTTTTTAAAGCTAATGTAACATCACAGCATTTTTGCCTTCAAGCAAGGGTCTAAAATTTCACATTAAAAATAGGTTAATCTGATTCAAGATTCACATTCTCTTCACAAGGAAAAACCTCCTCAACAAAGCACACGCCCACACTCTTTTAGATGAAGAAAGAAAAAAGCAATTTGGACTAAATGATAAAAAAACCACAACAAATCAATGTCAAAAATATTTACTGCATTCTCAGTACAGCAATATATATGCCTTGTCCTAAAACCATCTGCTAAAACCCCAAATGCTTCACGGCTTTTACTCAGCCACAACAGCGTGCTACCCCAGCTCACGCATCGACCTGGAAAAGCCTTGGCCAGACCAGAGTGCTTCGCCACCAAGTCCCCCACGCAGAGGTCTCCTCGCTGCACCAGAAACACGCAGCTCGGCGAGCTGTCCCGCGAGCACCAGCACTAATGCAGCTTGGCCTTCGCTGTGGGCGCGTGCCTCGTGATCGCGACGGTTCCTGCGAGCCCCCCGGCAGGGCGGTGGCCACGGCGGGCCCTCAGGCGCCTGCCATGTGCCAGTGCTCGACTGCCCCAAAG